AATAATTATTCTAATTTGTTGACCCAAATCTCTCTGAATTAGATATCTGTACTCCAAATGATAGTAATTAAAATTATCAGTAAAGGTTTTATTTGTATATCTGGTTTTGAGGAAAATATGGACAATAGTAATGACTTATTTTAATCTAAAGGCATTTCAATGAATAATAAAAAAATTTCCTCCCCTGTAATTACTATGAAAAACCACAGAAATTGCAAATGAATGGATAAATTAGTAACATGGATTAAGCATGAAAACTGGTTTAATAACCTTAGCTATCAAACTAATTGTGAATAACTGGAAATGTTTCATTCAGAACTGTTTTATAGAGTGATTACGTGTGATTTGCATAATTTTCTTTTAGAATAAAAATAGATCTAAAATATTTTGTAAAATGGAAGGAGAAAAGCACATCTGAACAAAGTATTTTCATAGAGCAATGTGGGAGAGTTGACATTTAGATTTTATTGAAAGTATATGTGAAATAATTTACCCCATTTATTTACCCACCTACTCATCAAATTATCCATTCATTCAACAAATATTTTGAATTAGATTTTGGTCAGGTTTGGGCATACAAGTTCTCATATAATTGCCAAAATTTATTTTTTTAAAGATTTATTTTATTTTTGCATACAAGAGCTGGGGTGCGGTCCAAAGGTGTGGGGACTGAGAGGATTCACCAGAGACAGAGTGGGGAGCAGAACACAGGAGGATTGACTGAAATAAACTGCTGAGGGGAGGGGCAGGTGAGACAGGAGAGGTCTGCTGCGCCCATATGGGTCACCTCTCTGGTCAGGGATCAAACTCATGCTGCAGTTGCTGTGGATAGGTTCATAATGCTGAGACTTAACTAACTCTTGAGCCACCGTGGAGGCCCATAATTGCGAAAATTTAAATTGGTCCTGTTGAAAGAGATAATAAACAAATAAACATTCTACATGTAACTAAAATTCTGATAGTGAACAATGCATGGAATAGTGCATTTACAGAAAATGAATATTTTGTAGTTAGAATTTCAAAGCATTTACTAGATTTCTATAAATGTTAGCATTTTTTAAATTGTAAAATCACAAACACTGAGAAGAGAACAGATAGCATCAAAGTAGGAAGCACCTTTCTGAATCTTTTCAGATCTTTGATGCCATTTCAGTGAGGGAAAATGAATGAGCAAATCTATTTCTGCATGCCAATTTTATTAATAAAACAACTTTTCTCCCAGACTCACTTCCCCAAGCAGAAGAAATATTTTGAAAAGAGTAGCTAGAATAGATAACAATTTTTATATGCTCAGGAAAACAAGGCTTATCATCTCTCTGTCTCAGAGGGGACTCTAAAGGATTTTCCTGACATCTCACTCATTTTTCTTAACCTGGCTCTGAACTTCAGTGCTCAGGAATATGGATCATTCTTTTCAGAGTTGCGAAGGAATCATTGCATAGCAGGAAGAACTGGAAAGCAGCAGGGGAGAAATAGAACAGCAATGAATCAGACAGTCTGCCTTCTCTCCTATCTTTGCCTTCCTGATATGACCTTTTTCAACAGCAGGGAGCTGGGTTAGTGCAAGGCCGAGAGTAGTCATCATAGGGATTAGTGTTTCCATTTTCTAGTTAGTAATATTTACACTAACTATTTTTAAGTTGCTTGATATTGCTAGGATCCAGTGTTGGAAAAAAAATCTGTAACCCATTCAATAACTTCCTTTGCCGGGGGTGAGAGGATTCACCAGAGACAGAGTGGGGAACAGAACAGGTGGATTGACTGAAATACACTGCTGAGGGGAGCAGTGGGTGAGTCAGGAGAGGTCTGCTGCGCCATGTGGGTCAGCTCCCTGGCTGGGGATCAAACTCATGCTGCAGTGGCTGGCGACGGCTTGATAGCACTGTCTTTAATCCCTGCACCACCAGGGAGACCCCTATGAGAGATAATTCTACCACAATGCAATCCTCATTTTCCAATGAGAAAAAGAATCTTTATTGAATTTAGTATCTTGCCCAGGTTTACATGGAAACACATTGCTGATTTGGATTTGAAATTAAGGCTGAACCCAGAACATATGGTTCCACTTAGAGACAATTCTAGGTTGTGTGAGACCTGAAGTTGAGAGAACTTTGAAGACCACCTACTGAAATAAAACCATGAATTTAATACAAATTGTGAATATTTAGAAAAAACACAACAAATGACAAATTTTCCAAAACTAACAAATGCTATAAACATCACAATAACAAAATATATTTAATGGTAAACTTAATGTGGTATATATGGTAAACAATATTTATTTTTAATGATGTACACCTGACATTTATATGCTGCTATGATGCAATGTTACTTCAATAAAATAATTTAAATAAAAAAGATTTGTATTAATGACCTTGCAAACATCTATGATGATTTTTTGCAAGTATTTGTATAAATGGAAAAGAAAGATTATTCAGTCTATTCTTTGATATAAAATTTCTCATTTATTATTTATTATTACTTTAAAGTAAGCTGACTTACTATAATTTTGTTATACTTATGATAAATTTCATTTTGCATAATTTCCATACAGTTAATTTATAATTTGGTGCATTGATTGTATTCCTAACAGGAGAATTTTCTGATTTTGATGAAGCCTGGATGAGAACTAAATTTTCCACTTACAATTACACATGTGTGATGATTGAAAAAACTTCAATAGATCAGCTTCTCTTCCTACATACCTCTCACATAGCTCACACAGTCATGGGTATGCCACCTGCTCTGACAGGTCTTCATGCTGAGCAAATAGTCTCAGTGGGCAGTGGGAGTATTACTAGAAGCCATTCTGTCTTTGGGAGGATGAGCAATTACACAGGGATTCATAGACATCACTGCAAATGACTTTGAGATTTTCCCCTAAACCTAAATGACTATCCACCCTGGTGTTTTCTGCACAACTCTTGTTTTTGTGTATTATGCCAATTTGTTTATTAATTCTGTCCACTTTAATTATCAAATGTCTCAGAATTTGAATGGGTCAAATGATCACCAAATTGAACCAACCCTAACTCTCACCTTAAATGGAGACAACATTCCTTCCAACTGCAACAAATATATAATAATGAAACATAACCTGTGTTGAATTCTAGGTGTTTTTAGTGCTTAGAAATATGCTTGATTTCCCCAGAAAGATGGAAGAGCAATGATAAATTATTGATGGATTTAATGGAAGAGCAAACAGTTTAATCCAGAAATTAAAAAAAAAAAAAAAAGCTCAGTCTGCAAGAAAAATGAAAGAAAAAGCATAAATCTTCAGTCATTAGGCTGTACACTCTGAAAAATAGCTGTCAAACTAAAAAAAAAAACAGAAAATTCAAATCTGATGAGACACAACTCCTCATCCTGTGTCCACTCTTCCGAGGTGAAAGCAGATTTAGTGAGTGAATCAACAAAATTCAACTCTTATTTCCTAACCTTTCTTGTTTGCATAGGGGTCAGCTGCAGGGTAAAGGACTCAGCCTGGGGCGGGGCAGGCAGGGGTGGGGGGAGCCTGAAGAGAATTTCTAGACCAGAAATTTATACCCAGCGTCGCCATACCCCAAGGGAACAAACTGCTAGGGGATTATAATTTTCCAGGGTTTTCTATTGATGCATGGGAGTAATTTAGAGTCAGCCATATTCCAACATGACTGAATCATTGAGCCCCACAAAGTGGAATGAGCTTCTTCACTAAATTCCAGGGCCACAGACCCAAGACCTACAAGGTTGCCAGCAGCTCAAATCAGTCATTCACCCTTCCTTTTAGTTGCACCAGGGGTTCAAAACAAGAAAAAACATCTGAAACCAAACACAATCTTTATCGGGTCTCATATTAAGGAAGAAATTTTTCATGTGGCATCTGGGGCAATGTTCTTTGTGTGATACTTTAACAATAAATCACATGGCTACTGTGTGATTGAAATACAGCTACAGACAAGCTAAAAATAAAAAGTATGCAAGAGGGAAGTGAAAATAGAATTTTTTAAATTGAATTTTATCAAATGAGCTGTGGAATAGAAACCAGCAGTCCTAGTTTTCGTCATACAAGAAGAAACACACTTAAGGAATGGTGGGTGTATCTCAACGATAACAACAGATTAAATGTTAATGGGCTTCCACACTGACCATCCAATTTGCATATCTAATAGAATAATGGTGATAATGAATCATAACACACTCCATAACAAAGAATCCACAAGTCCAACATGCTATTCCAAAAGGAGGTGGATGAGAAGAGAAAGCTAGATAATATTGTAGAAAGCATGAGAGGTTTATCAAAACTACCATCTTGTAAACACATTCACATGGATTTAGAGAAAGCTCATTGGAGGATATTAAAGTATTATATAAAAAAATTGGTAGAGAATGCGGTATTCAGAAAGTTTAAACCATCACTTCATAGATTCTTTAATCATTTCACAGTGAAAGGACATTTACAAGAGAGAAATTTAGCAGGTACAATCCGGATCGTAAAATCAGACCTGGAATGAGGCAAGGTGAAGGATGATGAGGCAGGAAGCTGATTGCAAATAATACTGAGTCAATTTATGTGGAAATATGTCAGAATGTGGGATATTCTACAAGAAAGATTGTCTGGTGCTTCCAAATATCAAAGTCATGTAAATGAAAACAAATGAGGTAATCTATTCTAAATCAAAGGAGATCAAGCATAAACACTAAATATAATCTGTGCTCCTTTTTTGTGCTGTGGGCAAATAAAAAAAAAATTAGAAAAAGCGAACCAGCAAAAAATTGGGAATAAATGAAGAAATTTGATAATGCATTGATTTAAAAATTATGTTATCTAAAATATTTAACAACATTTATTCAACAGCATAGTGGAACACAAAGTTAAGTCTCTTGAGTGTGATGATTTCCTGATGGCTTTACAGAAGTGTATCACAGTTAGGGAGATTCTATTTACTACTGACTTCTTTGTAGGGAAGCTGCTTGTATAGGTTATTTAGAAACAGTATTTGGTTTTAATTCTCTTGCAGGTGACTCAAGATAACTGAAAAACAACCATTATTGATGACACACACATCACCTCTTAGTGCTTTGTGAAAAGGAGTTGTTCAAAGAAAGGATTTGGTAAGTTCCTAGGAAAACAGAAGTAAAAATGTCACTTTTTGTTGTTCATGGGAATCAGTTACATAGAAGAATACTTTAGAAAGTATCTTGTCTAACTCTTGATTTCAAACTGTTGGGGCAAAAAAAGAGAGAGGTGGATAGAGAGGGAGGTATTTCTTTCAGTGTCTGCTTGGTAAATCACTTTTCTCAAGAAATCTGTATTATCTATATTGTTAAATTTATGGGCTCTATCCTATAATTTTATAAATAAATTTTTGGATGCACTGTCTTTTTATAATCTTTTAATAAAGGATCTCTGTGATATTCCGTGTTTCATTTCTAATCTGCTTTCTGGTTTTTCTTTTTTGATTAGTCTTTCTTGTGGTTTATTAATTTATTAATCATTTCAAATAACCATATTTGGCTTTTTTGGCCATATGCCTAGTTAATATGTCATTGATGTATGTTTATTAATTTATGTTTCCTTCTCTAGTTCTTTAAGGGATAATTTGTTGGATTTTTGTGGTTTCTTGAAATTAAAGCATGTATCATTCATTTTGACTTTTATTTTGCAATGAGTATAACTTAAAGCTAAATATTTCTTTACAATACTACTGATCTACCCCCAAATTTTGGTTATGATATATTTCATTATCATCTGGTCACCTCACTTTTATTTTTTTTGTGATGCCTTCTGTAATCCAGAGATTTTTAGAATGGATTTGCTTAATTACTAAATTTTTGAGGATCATTCTACATCTATCCTGTTTTGACAAATGTTCCTTCTTCATTTGAAAAAAAAATCTGTGTTCTCAAATGTTTAATGCAGCATTCTATATGTCTATTAAATCAAAGGATGTGTACTATAGTGGAGAAGAGAGTTAAAATATCCAAACTTGATTATGAATTTGTCTTTTATTTTTAGATTTCTCAGTTTGTTCTTCATGTATTTAGAAGTTATATGAATAGGGACATACACAGTCAACCTTCAAAGAAGGAAGCATTCAGCAGATGACTTCTGTGGGATTCAGTAGACCTCCAGATCTCTGGAGACCCAAGTAGACCTTCCAGACTTCCACAGAGACTCAGCTTCTGTACCTGTCTCAGGCCATGCCTCTGAAATCACTGCCAATGAGCACCCTTGACTTGGGTCCAATGTCTCAAAGAGTTGTTGACTATTGGTTCATACCAATAACTCAAAAACAGCTGTAGCACCTGTTGTCTCTGACACCACCTCTTGGTGACCAGCACTGAGTGACACTACTGATTGGTGAGCAGCACTATGCTTGGCCACCTTGGAGAGCTGTCCACTGCCTCTGGTTATCTGGCACCACCTCTTGATGCTGTTGAGTCTGTTGCTGTCTGTCCTGTATTTGGTACTGTCCAGCCTGGCTTTCAGACTGTTGCTGTGGGTTGCTGGGGTGTCATCTGAGCAGCCCTACTGGTGAGCACCTCCAGCTGCCACCGTGAGTAGGACCCTGGTGCCTGGCTGACCAGTGTGCCACTAGCTCCAGGCTCTTGTTGATGGAATGGTGACATCTTGCATGAGCAGAATTTGTTTGGTCTACTGGAAACTGAACAATGTCTAAGGTGAGACAGTGGGCCATTTGCGGCCTTAGAAACACTTTCCTTTCTCCTCTTTGTTAAATAAACTCCATTGTTGTTGGACCCTGAGCGTGTCTTGCAATTGAATACATGGGTGAGAACCCATGGACTGTGACCCATCCCCGCCTTTGGCTCTGTCCCTTAACACTATCATTGGCTTAAGACTTTTATAGCTACTAAAATATAAGTAAGTGTGTGATTTAGATGTAGTTTTTGTTGTTGATACTAGCTGTAGACTGAATGTTAATATTCCCTATAAATTCATGTGTTGGAATCCTAATGTCCGATATAATAGATTTGACTTAGGACTTTTGGGAGCTGATTAGCCAGCATACATAGGATTAAATCCTTATTAAAGAGACCTCAGAGAGCTCATTTATTTCTTCTGCCTTGTGAAGACACAACGAGAAGACAACCATGTGCCAGGGAGTGGGACCTCCTTATCAGATAGGAGCAATGCCTTGACTTCCCAGACTCCAGAAAGGTAAGGAAAAAAATGTGCTGGTTATAAGCCATTCAGTCTATGGTATTTTCACTATAGCAGTCTGAACTTCTCAGGACTACATACCATATTATTTTTGATGACTGTACTTATAATGATTATAGTACATAAATGTTTACTGTTAACACTATATTTATTTGATGAGGCTAAAGTAAACTCAGAAGAAACTAAGTGATGAGAAATCCCACTGTTTATTTTCCACTGATAATGTGATATTTAACAAACAGTCTTTTATGGGAAAAACATCACAGGGTAACCACATGTATGATTTACAGGATTTTAAAAATAGCACCATGTTGTGATTTGAGTTATAAGAGAATCTCCTTTTTAAGAAAAAAAAAAAAAACCTCAGTGGTACTAATTATATATTACATGTTAAATCATAATTTGAGTTACTTGACAGCTTTGATTTCCCTAAGATGTCAATTACTGTAAATTCATAGTGTTTACACTCTGTTTTCAGTGTGGAATAAATGTGTTCAGTATAACTGTCTTTTGGATAATTACAGGTCATAAAAGATTGAATTACCTTCTGGGTATTTAGGTTTCTGTGAACACACAGAAATTTTAAAAATGATCTTTGAATCACTCAGAATATGGTGACATTAATATATTGCATGCTTTCCAAAGAAACTGGGAATATAACAATAAAATATACTTGAAATATACTTGAGATTAATGTGAAGTTTACGTTCAAGTGCTGATGAAGACTAAGGGTAACCTTTCACCATTAAAATGTAAAGACAGATGGGCTCAGGTTGCAATGAGATTCTCTTGGAATCAAAGGAGGCAACCAAGTGAGACAAATGCTTATCTATTAATAGTTTGCCTTTCATTTCTACCTGGTCTGTGTAGAAAGTCAGAACCCAGGCAAGGGAAGCAACATTGATTATATGAGATGTGCTATGATATAGATATCAGAGAATGACACCGCTTTGCTTTTCCTGAGGTGGAAATTACAGTCCCCATTTCTTCTGTGTGTTCTTAGTAGTTTGAAATTATGATTATTCTTTTTTGGAAGGAAATAAAAATGAAGGATGAATCACAGAAAAATTGGGGAAAGAAGATTATCAACAATAGGATGAAAACAATTGATTGAAACATAAATAAATTGAGGATGTAAGGTCTGGCAGGGGTAGGGTTTTTCACTAAGAGGAGTCTGGAGTCTGCTGTTAGAAAATAAATGAAATAACAATAACTGGAGCTGAATATGTGCCATTCACTCTTCTGGGTATTATACATGAATTAATCAAATTTATCCTCACTAAATGTTATGAGGTAGGGGTAATTCTATAAGCTCATTTTATAAATGCATAAGCTGAGTCACAGTGAAATTAAGTAACTTGCTCAAGGCCACATACAGTAAATGATCTGGTTGAGTAAAGATTCTCTAGAATCTTTAGTCTTCACTGTTTTTCTAATGAAAAATATTGAGCATGAAGATGGTTAACAGATAGGCCACATTTTCATTTTAGCGTAAAGGAGTAAGGCACCCTTCACTTGTAGGGAGACTAATCCTCAGCTTGATGGTGTCAACCAGGCTAAAACGAGATCATTTAACAATGTTAAATTAATCAAAGTTATTACTTCTTTTTTATGGAGCTATTCAAGGGGTTTTGAGTATCTTGAGTCCCTATTTCATCAAGCAGCTATCAGTTACACATTTAAGAAATATTAACAAGAAGTATGCCCGCCCCCCAGCCAAATGTGTAGATGCAGAAGTGGAACATGAAGATTGCTCAAGGTCCAACAGGACAGGCATCAGGTGTAAACTGACTCTCATGCATGGCTGACTTTGTGATGGAGGCACATGTGCAGTGACATCGACAGTCACGGAGCACTGATTTGCATACAGGGACTCTGAATAGCACACCCACACGGTGCGTGTGCAGCTCTGGGCATTCCCCACCCTGACCGGCTCCCACTTCGGCTTTCCACTCGTTTGATCAGGGCAGGTTTTATCTTTAACAGGTTTTATATTCAAATTCTCTATATTTTTAAAAATTTACTTATTTTAATTGAGGTAATATTTGGATATCCCCATCAGGTATTGCCCCCGTAATGCATCAACCACAAAAGCACCCATGTCCACCACCAGAGTCCTTTGTGCTTCCTTCCCTCTTGTTCTTACCACCCCTCCCACCGCCACCTTCCCTCCTCCATCTAGATGCTTCAATTATGTGGTCAACAGTCAAGGGTTAGTTTTCAAATTGTACACACAGTTTGTTTGAAGATTCTTAGATAAGGTTAGAAATTCTCTTATTTCAAAATCACACAGATAACAAAGCCAATGATTCTGCCTAAATGTCGTAGCTACAGATCATGATTTTCTTGGTTAATTCCATTTCTTAGTATATATTTTCAAACACTTATAACGAGAATACATGAATACAAAATTCTACATACCAACCATTCAGTTTAAGGTGGAAAATGTTGCCATTATAGAGGTTGAGAACTCTATATATCCTTTTTGATTTTATTTCTGGGTACTGTTAGCTGAATTTGGAGATTATTATTCCTATGTGTATCTTCCCAACAGTATGCTATACAGTTTTACTGAATTTGAATTTTTATAGTACGTTTTATAGTACCACATTGTGTTGTGTTTGGTTTTATGGCATCTTGCTGTCTTCAAATGGTTTTCTGGCATCTTGCTGTCTTCAATTGGTTTATTTTATGAGTTCCATGCATGTTGACAAATGTAGCTATATTTCATTCATTTTCAGTATTGGCTAGAATCCTACTATTTAAAACTACTGTACTTTATTATTTATTCTCATGTCAATCTCATATACCTATATGTTATATATAGTGATGTGGCTATGTTACTATCAATGTGAATAATATTTTGATGTTATATGTGCACATATGTGTATATGTAATAAATAAAGCAGTGTGATAGGAGAAATGCAGAAATCTGACATGGCCACAATACTTCCAACTCCTGGTATCCACATCTTGTGCAAGTCCCTACTAGTGACTGGGGGTAGCTCTCTCCAAATGATCAAATACACTCCTATGATTAAGTTGTGTTATTAGTCAAAGGTGAAAGAATTTTGAGATGTACTTAGAGTGGAAAAATCAGCTTTGAGTTAATTAAAGGAATATGACTCTAGGGGACCTGAGAGAATCAGGAGGACTCTGAAAAGGAGTTGAACCAGGGCCTCCCTGCAGGCAGCTGAGTGCAGCGCTGTGAAACTGTCCACAGCCTCTGCAGCACCGGTTCGATCCTGGCTGGCCGGTGAGGGTCCCACATGGCTCTACAGACCGCTCCTGTCTCGCCTGCTGTCCCCTCAGCAGTGTATTTCATCAGTCTGCCTGTTCTGTTCCCCACTCTGTCTCTGGTGAATCCTCTCACCCTCCTGCACATCTGGCTTGTACCCCAGTTCTTGTATAAATAAATAAATAAATCTTTAAAAAAAAAAAAAGGAGTTGAACCAGCCCTGAAGGAAGGAATTCAGGACATGGAAAAAAATGCTTGTGCTGGTCGCAAATAAGTAAATCACCACATGTGAACTGTTGATGGAGAGGACCAGTTTCTAGAAGCTAAGGACGTCAGGCTGATATTCACAAGAAACTGAATCCTGCCAACAATGGAAGTGAGCTTGGGATAGGATCCTAGGCTCAGGTGAGGCCCCACCCAGCCCTAATAGTTGGATTTCAGCATGGGAAGACCTAAGGAGAAGACCTAGACTTGGGCAATAAGTTTGTGATAATGTGTTACACAGCAATAGAAAATTAACATAGCAGCTATAAAAGTTGTGCTATGCCTTTCTTCATGTACCTGCATAAGCATTTCTCTGGCATATGCATTTAGGGCTACATTTGCTGGGTAGTCAGTTGTACATGTCTTTAACACCACCAGATCTTGCTAAATGGCTCTCATAAGGGTTAACCCTCTTTACTGCCAACTGTGTAAAAAATAGCAGCTGACTTTCCCAGGAGAAGAACTAATTATCCAATCATACATCTTGTAAACAAGATTTCTTTCTGGCATTTCTTTCTTTCTTTTTTGAAAATCCTTTACTAATAACCTCTCAGAATAAAATACTATTGACACATTTTTTTTCCTTAGGAATTCATATTGTAAATTTGCATCTCATATTGCATAGTTAGCAACCATGTTTTTAATGTCAGAAATATCACTGACATCATAATTAGGGATGCTAAATTTTAATATGCAGGAATGTTTTTCCTTTGTTGAACTGAGCAATGAGGGACTCATTGGCTGATTTAATTTATATACTGAGAAATAACACATTATAAATCCATGCCTAGAGTGCCTTCTAAATTTATGAGTAATACCTAAATAATCAGAGATCCTTTTTACACATAGAGGCAGGCACAAAAAAGAAAGGTCACTAGTTTTGCTTCTGCAGATCTATATTTGCACATGTTGCTAAGCAATGGAGGAAAATCACAGCCCTCATGCTCTAGATTGCCTTTTTTTCTGACATCTATTATTTACAAAAAAACCAAAAAACAAAAACCCAAAGCAAATATATGCA